CACTCACCTGTGGATTGTCATTGTTATTGTTGAAGTAGGCTTCAAGCCTGGTGCAGAGTTCGGTGCAGGGCCTGAACTCACAACCCTGAGATCAAGATTTGGGCTGAGATCGAGAATCAGTCAGATGCCTGGGGCACCTGGGTGGCTCCGTCAGCTAAGCGTCCACCTCCTGATTTTGGCTCAGGTCTTGATCTCGGGTCTTAAGCTCGAGCCCTGTGTCGAGCTGTGAGCTGACAGCACGGAGCCTGCTTGGGATTCTCTCTCTCCCTCTCTCTCTGCCCCTTCCCCATGAGCACTTGGGATTCTCTCTCTCCCTCTCTCTCTACCCCTTCCCCATGAGCACTCGCTCTCAGAATAAATAAACAAACATTAAAAAAAAAAAAAAAAAAAAAGAGTTGGACACTTCACTGACTCAGACGCCCTGAGTAGTGGTTTTCTTTTTTGTAATCAGGGAGAAAAATGAAAAGCAATCTTGGATGTCAACCAACTGGAAACCGATGAAGGAAAATATATGGCCCACACATACGATGAAATGTTGGGTGTCCTTTAAAAATGACAAAAATCCGCATTTACTGAGTAGTTTGGTCAGGAAGCATAGCACAGCTGCCACACCGCGGTGGGTTCAGAACCCAGACCCACCACATACAGGCTGTGTGATCTAAGCAAACTCCTGAACCTCTCTGTGCCTCAGTATCCTCTCCTATAAAATGGGAGTAACAATAATGCCTACTTCTTCAGGTTGCTATGAGAATTACAGGAGCTAGCAGCAGTAAACACGGAGTATCCAGAAAGTGCTACGAAACAGCTTGTTAAACAAAAAAATATTAACATGGAAAATGTTATCGGCTATATTGGTGAGTAAAAAAAGAAATCACAGAACATGATACATGACCCCATTTCTAAAAAACATGTGTACACAGAACGGAGAAGGATCTTCCTTCTCTTTCTTACACGGTATAGTAGTCAATACACCTAGGCAGTGAAATTCTGGATTATTGTTACTTTCCTCTTAGTACTTTCTGTATCATTTCAGGTATTTAAAAAAGAAAAACAAGATAGGTACTGTGAGACACTTCTGGAACCTGAATTGGTGTGAGCTTTTGGTGGGGAGGGGGATTTCGGCAACATGTAATATACATCCTGACCCAGCAATTACACTTGTAGGAATTTATCCTATGAAAGTAACAACGTAAGTCCGCAAATACACGTGTGCCCACGCACATATACATGCACGTACATACAAATACGCCTGCACACAGAAGTATTTATGAAAGCAATATTCACAACAGCAAAAGACTGGCAACGACCCTGAATTTGCTCAGCTGACAACAATACGACACAGAAAAACAATGCTGTAGAGCTCCATGGAAAGATCTTTTTGGAAAGATCTTTTTGGAAAGATCTTTTTGGAAAGATCTT